CACATTCTCAATGTTGCTAGATCTTTAATGTTTCAATCCAATTTGCCCATAATTTTCTAGTCTTTTACTGTTCGTTATGTTGTGCATCTCATTAATATTTTACCTTCCAAAGTTTTAGCATATTTTTCTCCATCTCATTTGTTACAACAATGTTAAACCTGACATTACTTACTTAAGAATTTTTTGCTCCCTTTGTTATGCTTCAACTCTTCAAGCTAATAGAACAAAATTTTAACATTGAGCAAGAAAATGTGTCTTACTTGGTTTTAAAAAAGGAGTGAAAGGCTTTTGTTGGATCTCAACTCTCGGGAAATTTTTCTATCAAGGAATGTAGTATTTTATGAAAACATATTTCCTTTTCTTACTAGTGACAAGCACTCCCCTACTGATACACAAAATTCCTTGGATTTTGTCACCAAAATTACTTCACATCCATTACCTCTTTTCTTAGAAGTTACTGATCAACCCTCTTTACCACCTATATCTTCTACTTCTGTTGTTCTATACCCTGTTATTTTTTCTTCTAAACTTGTTTCTGTTGAACTTATCAGTGCTACTCCACAAAGAAAATCAACCAGGCCAAAACATAAACCATCTTACCTGCACGACTATCATTGCAACATGTTATCTACTTCTTTAGCCACTCAGTCATCTACAAGTACCTTGTACCCTATCTCTAGTGGAGGATCTTCACGATTGATCTTGGAGGGGCCAAATAATATATTATTAATAAATAATAAATAAATATAAAAGGAAGAAAGAAGATGAAAGTGTTAAAGGATAAAATTGTAGATATATACTTAAATATATTAAATGATCATTAAATTTGAGGGGATAAAATCATAAATTATATGAGAGTTACAAAATTGAGGAGAGGCTGAGAGGATAAAATTGGAAATATATAAGTAAATATATTAAATGTTCATTAAGTTTGGGGGGCCAAAATCATAAATTACATGGGAGTTACAAAACTTTGGGGGAGTCACGACCCCCCTCAGCTCCCAAGAAGATCCGCCACTGCCTATCTCTTCATATCTCTCTTATGATGCATTATCATCTCTTCATAAATCATATGTCCTTAATCTTTCCCAAGTCAATGAACCTAAAACCTAAAACCAAGCCATCAAACATGATTGTTGGAGAAATGACATGGATCAAGAAATTGCAGCTTTTGAAAGTACCAAAACATGGGTTTTGACTGATCTACCATATGGAAAACAACCTATAGGGTGTAAATGGGTATACAAAATAAAGAGGCAAGCTGATGGAAGCATTGAAAGATACAAAGCAAGGCTAGTAGCCAAAGGCTACACACAACAAGGCTTAGATTACTTTGAAACTTTTTCACTTGTTGTCAAACTCATAACAGTAAGGTTAGTTCTGGCCTTAGCAGCTTCAAAGCATTGGTATTTACATCAACTAGATGTAAATAATGCCTTTTTACATGGGGATCTAGATGAAGAAGTGTACATATCTCTTCCTCTTGGCTTCAAGACAGAAAAATCAGGACAAGTTTGCAAATTATTGAAATCTTATATGGACTTAAACAGGCCTCTAGACAATGAAATTACAAGTTGACAACTACTTTACTTTCTTTGAGCTATATACAGTCAAAATTAGATTATTCACTTTTTGTCAAAAGTGATTCTGCTCATATCACCATCTTATTTGTTTATGTCGATGATATAGTATTGGCCAGTGATAACATCTAGGAAATTCAAACTGTGCAGGCTCTATTGAATGCAAAGTTCAAGATTAAAGACTTAGGTCAATTCAAGTATTTTCTTGGCTTAGAAATTGCAAGATCTTAACAAGGCATTACTTTGTCACAGAGGAAGTATGCCCTAAACTTACTAGAAGATGCATGATTGTTGGGATGTCCACCTGTTTCTACTCCCATACAGCTAGGCACAAAATTTTCCAAGACAAAAGGAAAACCTTATTCAGATGTGCATGCCTATAAAAGACTACTTAGAAGGTTACTCTATCTAACCAACACAAGGCCAGATCTATGTTTTGTTGTTAACACAGTCATCCAATTCCTTTCCAATCCTTTGAAAGATCACTATGTAGCAGCAATAAGGATCCTGAGATACATCAAGAACAGTCCAGGACAAGGATTGTTATTTCCCTCCAATACAGAACATACACTCAAGGCTTTTAGTGATTCCGATTGGGTTGCTTGCCCTAAAACTAGAAGGTTTGTAATTGGTTTTAATGTGTTCTATGGTGCATCCTTAATCAGCTGGAAGTCCAAGAAGCAAGGAACTATATCTAGATCATCAACTGAAGCAGAATATAAAGCCTTAGCATCCACAACATGTGAAATTCAATGGCTTTTGTATTTGCTCCATGATTTGAAATAGTCTCTAGCACAACCAGTTCCTTTGTTTTGTGATAATCGATCTACCATACAAATTGCACAGAGTCCAGCTATGCATGAGAGGACAAAACATATTGAAATTGATTGTCATCTTATAAGGGATAAAGTTCAAACTGGTGTTATTAAGCTCTTACCCATTCCTACTTCAACACAGCTTGCAGACATTCACACTAAAGCATTGCATCCAACACAATTTCAATCTTTGTTGTCCAAGCTGAGCATTAAGGATATATATGTTGCAGCTTAAGGGGGGATATTGAATATAAATTCAGTTTAGTTTCTGCTAATTAGTTTGTTACAATCTATATGTTGCAGCTTAAGGGGGGATATTGAATATAAATTCAGTTTAGTTTCTGCTAATTAGTTTGTTACAATCTATTTTATACAGCTGTAAAGTTATCTTGTACATAAGATATACTTTGCCTAACATTCAATACAATTACACTTTTAATCCATTCTTTCCTTATAATAGTAATACGGTCATCATTATGATCATTCTCTTTCTCCTTGGCTTTCTTGCCTTTGTTATCATTTTTTCACTTAAAATAGTATCATTGGATGTATTTAGGTTTATTATAATAATGACACTCCATATTCTTGTATCTTATCTTGGACTTGCTCATACTCTTGCCTCTATCACCTTTCGGATCCTTTATCTGACATCTCCCCTTATTTTTAGTGACAAGCACCTCAGATTGAGATGAAGAACCATGTGTCTTCCTTCTCATCTCTTCATTGAGCACCACTCTTTGCCATTTGGAAAGAAACAATGTTGTTAAGGGCTGAGCTTGTAATTCAAACCTGAAATATCTCTCATGACTCTAGTAAAGTATTTAGTAGCCATAATCCCAAAACTTCATCATCAAAATTTATATTCATTCTTGACAGTTGATCTAAGAGCCCTTGAAACTCATTTAAGTGATCTGAAATAGAAGAACTCTCTTTGTACCTCAAATTCATCAAACAATTCAACAAATATGATTTATTATTGGCTGACTTACAAGCATATAATGACTTAATCTTCTCCCACAAAGTTCTAGCATGTATCTCATTAGCAATGTGGTTATAAACATTATCTTGTACATATTGTCAAATAAAACTGTTTGTTGGTACTCAAAGTCTCATTCTTCATCAAACATAGAATCCGCCTTTTGTGTAACAAAAAGGGACGATGTAATTTCTTCACAAACAACAAATATTTCATCTTGCCTTTTCACAAATGATAATTTGTACCATTTAAAGCAATCATCTTTGTATTTGTCTTCATCATTCAAGCAAGTAATATAGTCCAAAAAACCAAGAGGTTTGATGCTCTGATAGGGAAAAACAACACAAAAACCTAAAATAATAAAGTATGCAGGTAAATAATTTTCCTAACTTGCAAGAATATGTGAAGAACAATAGAAAATGACAAAAATAATCATAACAGAGAACACCAGTATTTTTAGTGTGGTAAAACCCCTCAACATGAGAATTAAAAATTCATGGGCACAAGTCAGTCAATCAAGCTCGACTAAGATACAAAAATATGAGTACAAGATAGTTAAATCAAAATGCACAAATAAGTGACTACAAGCAGCTAATATATCAAAGCAAAATGGTGCTCTCAAATTTGAAAAAAAAAAAACCTTAAAATTCAGCCATAGTGTTGAGACAAATATCTCCAACTACGCCGCAAATCTACTGTCAAAATTTCCGCCCAATTCAACATTATGAGAAACGGAAATCATAAACAACCATATTTGTATTTGTCTCCATCGTTCAAGCAAATAAATATAGTCCAAAAAACTAAGAGGTTTTGATGCTCTAATAGGTTAAAATAACACAAAAACTTAAAAAAACAAAGTATGCAGCGTAAATAATTTTCCTAACTTGCAAGAATATGTGAGGGGCAATGGAAAACCAGTATTTTTAGCATGAGAAAACACTTTAAATATCACAATGAGAAGTAGAAACTCACTCGTACAAATCGGTAAATCAAACTCAACTAAAATACAAAATATGAATACAAGACAGTCAAATCAAAATACACAAATAGATGCCTACAAACAGCCAATATATCAAAGTAAAATGGTGCTCTAAAATTTGTAAAAGAAAAAAATAAAAACTAAAATCGCAAAGTAAAATGGTCCTCTCAAATTTGTAAAAAAAAAAACAAACTAAAATCGCTAGACAGAAATCTCCACCCACACCACAAATTTAGTGTCTAAATTTCAGTCGGATCTAACTTTTAAGAGAAACGGAAATTGTAAGACTATAAAATGTATTTTTTATTTGGACCTTGAAAACCCTGGGGATCTTAAATGAAATAAAATGGGTTTGATTAATTTAGGTTAGTAGCCTAGTTCAACTCAATTGCACATGTCAAATTATTTATTTTTTACATCAATGGCTACCCATGATACCATGAAGCCAATCGCACAATGTATTTAATGAATCGGTACAAGCATTTTATTTTTAGAAATATTAAAGTCGTGAAGTGTTGAAAGCAAAACCATACGTTACCCCCACAAGTGTTGATCGTCGTGCCTATTAAACAGCACGTAAAGAAACCAAACATGCACCACGCCAGCAAAAGAGAAAAACCACAGACAAAACTGCATTAACCGAAATTAACATGGGATCGTGTTCCTCAGAGAAAGGGAGCCATGTTTTGGTGGAAAGAGACGACACTGAAACCACCCTCATTGCCATGGTGCTGGGTTCCAACGTGGTGTTTCCCGCAGCTCTCAACGCTGCAATTGAGCTCAACGTGTTTGAGATAATTGCGAAGGAAAGTTCAGCAGAGAGTGGTGGGTTCATGTCATCCTCTGAAATCGCTTCCAAGTTATTAATACCAACACAGCAGCAGCAACATCACGATGAGTTGCCGAATAGGTTGGAGCGTTTGTTGCGATTGCTTGCTAGCTACTCTCTTCTCATTGTTTCCACTCGCAGCGATGGAGATGGTGGCAGCGTGAGAGTTTATGGGGTGTCAGCATCGGGTAAATACTTCGTGCGTGATGAAAATGGTAGGGGTTATCTCGCTTCTTTCACATCGTTTCTGTGTCACCCTGCACTATCCAGGGTGTGGTAAGTGTTTTCTATCGTGCCTGGAATCAACCTTTGCAAAATATAGTGAATAGTTTAATTTTTTTGACCGGAAGTTAATAGTATTCTAATGAAATTGCTTTAAGAGCATTGGTTAAATTAAGAGATTGTTGTTTTTCCCAATGGAGCTGACACAGGTGAAAGAGTGACTTGAATCTTGATTAAGTTTAACTATAAGTACGTTTGTCTACAGTATTTTAAATTAAGAAATTGTTTCATAGTAGGGTTCATAGACTCATTTTTATTGAATTTTATTCATGTTAGGTAGATTTAAGAACATCAATAAGTTTTCTCTCCAACTGTGTAATCTTTAAAAACTAAAAATTAATCTTACAACTATCTCAAACTTCTTAGAAAAAACATATATAAGCAATAATTGTGATAATAAAATATAATAATTTAAAAATTGAGTATGAAATATATTTAATTGATTACTATTTTTAATAATATAATATTATTTATTATATTATTAATATATATTTCACATGCAATTGTCAATATATCCACCTTAAAAATTGTTCTAGTTTTAAGAATCCTAGAAGCAACTCTTACATATGTTTTTAAGAATGAAATTCAACTTTTTGTTTAAAAAATAATATTTTAAGGTAAAACCAAATTATGTATAAATAAAAGAAGTAAAAAACGTAGGTTGATTAAACTTTATATTATTAAAGTGTTCCTGTTTAAAATAAAATGAGTACTATGGGAAATGTTCTAGTTCAAGATACCAATTTGACTAAGAATGAATGTTGTTTAAAATACCATTGTAATGAATTGCTTTGAGATTCATAATTTAAGAATGAATCTTATATACGGGAGTGACCTTAAAGCTTTTGCAGCGTTTTCTTATCAAAATAAAAAGAAATATGATTTAGAAATGCTGACTTTGTTTGCTGTAATAATATAGGGTGAACTTTAAGGAAGCGGTTATTGATCCTGAGATTGACCTATTCAAGAAGGTTCATGGAATGTCCAAGTTCGAATACTTTGGGAAAAATCCTGAAATAAACCAAGTATTTAACAAAGCAATGTATGATATTTGCACCACCCACATGAAAAGAATACTTGAAGTATACACAGGATACGAGGGTATATCAACTTTGGTTGATGTAGGAGGTGGAACTGGACAGTGTCTCAAAATGATCATTTCCAAATACCCTTCAATTAATGGAATTAATTTTGACCTCCCACATGTAATTGAAAACTCACCACCCATTCCAGGTAATCAATCAATCCATCTCTCTAGCCAAAGCTACTTATTTCTGAAGGCGTAATTGATCAATCACATCTATAATGGCTAGTTCTACTTTTTTAGTTTTCATAAAATCATTAATAAGAACTTATCAAGTTTCATTTAGGGGTTGAGCATGTCGGGGGGAATATGTTTGAAGGTATACCACAGGGTGATGCCATCATGCTAAAGGTTAGTAAACATACTACCTAAACTTCAATGATCTATTTCTATCAAATGTCAGTAACAAAGAGCTAACCAATTTTTTTTCTGTCTGCACTTGGCTAACTGTTACAGGCTATATGCCATAATTGGTCCGATGAAAAAGCCATAGAACTTTTGAGAAATTGTCACAAAGCTTTGCCACCAAAAGGGAAGGTCATTGTTGGGGATTTCATACTGCCAGAAGACCCACAACCTACAAATGATCATAAAGTGATTGCAATTCTTGATAACATCATGTTTATTACTCCAGGTGGAACGGAAAGAACTGAGAAACAATTTGAGAGTTTGGGCATGCGTGCTGGATTTTCTGGGTTTCAAGTTGTCTGTCGTGCTTTCTCTACTTTGTCAGTGATGGAATTTTACAAATAAGTAACTCATGTCAGTAATAAGTTGGCCTTTCAAATTCAATGAAGGGTACAATTAATTTTCTTATGCCATTACAACATTTAATAAATAAAATAAAGCTATATTTTGATATGGTATCCTCGTAGTATTTATATAGTATGGTATCCTCGTACAACTTGGTCAAACAAAAGAAATAATCTCTCCCCACTCAGTTATAACAGAGGAGTACATTTGTATGAAACTGCAACAGTCAAGAAGAAACATTGCTTTTTGAGATGATTTCAAAGGCTATTCCATTTTGTTGAAGTCTTTCCTGGAGATCAGTTGGACCAAAGATAATCCCAGGAGGGTAAACTCCTCCTTTTGGAAGGTTGTTGCGTTGGCTGAGAAGAATAAGAGCACACTGAATAAGAATTATAGATGTGGTAATATATCCAACTTCAGGTCCCATTACCCTTGTTACAATCTCCATGTCAGGTTTGGTATTTCCCTGAGAAGCAATACCCCCATCACTAAAACCATGTCCAACAAACCACATCTTAAAGGAAGCATTTTCCACCTCCTCTTCAGAGGGGCCCTTCTTCTTGAACCAACCAAGGCTGAATATTTCAGGAAATTTTAAAAGAAGCCACCTTCCAAAACTAGTGCTTCCTAGAAGACCAATGAAAACTCCAACCATGATGATTCGGAGAATGCTCAACAAAGATTTTGTGCCTATTTTTACACCAAAATGAGCTGGCTTCACAATTGACCAGAAGGCTTCTCTTTTCTGAACCATTTCAGCACTCTCATTCAGCCCAGGGAGACCATGGGGGTTTTCTGTTAGAATTGATAGTGTTCGTCGAACTACAATTGAATCTGCTGAAGGTAGCTTCACTGCCCAAAGGCCAATTTTCTTCTGGTTCTCTATAGTTTCTCCTTTTGAAGGAGGTGGTCCAGGAACCTACAACCATGAAAATATAAGTTAAATGGATACTATAAACATTAGCTTAAGTTAAATTCAGCCAAAGACATAGTCATTAAATTGAAAAACATTAGCAAATGAAGAAGGGAACAAAAGTGGGAGTGGTCAAGTAAATACAATGTGTGATCTTAGAAAAAAAACTATAATATATCATCCACTATGAAAATAAGAACTAAGAAGCATATTTTCCCATGACAGCACTTTTCACGTTAACAAGTATTTGCACAGGTAACAATAATAGAATGCAACATTTACAAATAATACCGAGCCAAATTCTCATTCATATACCTTGGACAACCTTAGGAGAGACCTCCGAAAATGAGATTTTTGCAATAACTAAATGAACTTCTATTGTTCTGACAATTTATACCAGTAATTTTTATTTCCATAGCCATCAATTACAGATAGCGGGAGCATGCAGCAGGTGAATCCAAAATACTGTGGCAAGATAGCATCCAGCAAGATGACTACTATAGATATTTTCCTATCCCTCGTTTTCATATTCATAAAATTCTTATCTTATTCTATTGCCTTGGTTTTCTCAATCCTCACCTCTGTTTAGCTATTCTAAACTTAAAGTTACTCAATAACATCCATTACCTTCTTTTGTATGTCGATTTTGAATCCAAGAAAACAAAAATAGGAAAAACAAAAGAACAACAAGTGTTTGTGTTACCTGAGGCCTAGGTTTTCTAGGCTGCGACCTTCTGAGTTGCTGCAACTTGTGCGCATTGGCGACGCCAAGAACCGCCGATTCGTAAGTGGCAAAGTTTCCGACAATGCTCTTCTCCGATTCCAGCGCCACGTAAGCCTCCACGCGGTTCGGCGCCGCGGGCCCCACCCACTGCCTCGAGTTGAACATCAAGCCGAGCTCCGCGGGCACGGAGTCGAAGCCGCAAGCCGAGACCACGAGCGCGCCGCTCTCAGCCGCGCGGTCATGGTGCGCAGCCTCGACGCGCTCCATGAACTCGGGCTCGCCGGAGATGTCGAGGTAGTCGCAGCCGGCATCGGCGCAGGCGGCAACGACGGGCTCTCCGTGGAGGCGGAACGGGCCGACGCAGTTGAGGAGGAGGCGCGTGCGGGCGCAGAGGGCCCGGAGAGAGGAGGGGTCGGCGGTGTCGGCGGGGAGGATGGGGAGAGAGAGAGGAGGGTTGGGTCGGAAGGCCCATTCGAGGGCCTGTGAAAGCTTTTGCGGGCTTCGGCCCGCTATGGCGATGGACTTGAGCGGTGACGATGGGTTGTTGAGGAATTTGAGAGCTTCTCGGAGAACGTATTTGCCTGTGAAGCCTGAAGCGCCAAGTATCACGACATCGAAACGACCAGCGTTTTGTTCTTCCTCCATTTCTTCAACAGAATGTTGAAAAATTAACAAACACTACAACCGCAACACGTTACCACACTCTTCTCTTCCCAAGTAAGTATGGTTCTTCCTCCTTAAATCATGTTTTGTGGTTTTATTAGGTTTTGTGCAACTTTGTCTCATGATTTTATGACGAGTATAATTTTTCGTACACGGTATGTATTAGAGTTATGGTTCATTAGTTTTAACATGGTTATTATCGAAATGAATAAAGTTATCGTACACGACAATTTGTAATTATATAAGAAGACAATAGTTAGGAAAATAATTATGATTTACAACGCTGACGGCACATTATGAATCAGATATATTTCTATTTGTTGTGCCTGCAAATGGTAACTCTCACGTTTCAATTTAAACTTCACATGACCTTTCTTCTGGACATAAGCCCAAGAACTTCATCCCAAAGCCCAACACTTCCCACACTCCCAAGCCCAACGACACTTGGGCTACAGGCAGCAACAGTCCAATAGCCAGCCCTGATCTCATCTCTGAGTTGCTCTCTCTCCCACCCACAATACCCATCAAAGAACCTAAACTCCCCAAGCCCAACCACATTCCTCTTGACCATTTCGGAAGCACAACCCACACTCTCTTTTGCCCCGTAATACAACCCCTTCATCACTTCCTCAAACACCCCACTCTTTCCCACCCCATCATCACCACCCTCACCCTCACCCTCACCCTCTTTTGGACTCAACAAAAACAACCCTTCCTCCAAGGGTCCCCCAAAGAACAAGGGACTGTTGGAAAACGTCCCCTCCACATCCAACGCCGTTGATCTCGTCTCCTTGATGGACATCAGGGACGGTCGATTCAGGATTATGCCTGATGGGCCTATGGGCCCAGTTGACAGGAGAAGGATCACCGTCCGCTCGAAGATATGGACCCCATCGAGCTTTTCTGTGGCAATTAGCAAGCACCCCTTTTCGGGCTCGTGGATTACGTGGGCCCATTTATCAGCAATGGTGATGAGTGGAGGATGATCCACAACGGTGTCTAGATCATGCACCGTAGAAACCTCCTCAGGCCTTTGCAATTGCTCTCCTGCCACCAGTTTTGCACGGAAAGATCGCCAATCACCACTTAGCCCGGGTTTCTCATCGTCATGCGACGGTGATGGTGTTGACATGTGGCAACCTGTCATTAGATTACAAGTTTTTATGTTCAATATTTATGAACTAAGTTCAACTGTCAATTAGATTTAAAATTTTTTGCAATGAAAAAGTATAATCTCAAACTAAAATCATGGTATGTATAAACTTTAAGGTAATTATTGTATAACTCTACAAATGATAATTTGTGATTAGATAAATTTATTTACTCGTGCTTTAGTGGGAGAAAATTAATAAAAAAGATGTTAATGAGGAACTTACATGATATGGGAAATGGGGTTCGAAGTTTTCTACCCTGGAAAGATTGAGAAGATCGCTTGGCGTGTGACAGAGAGACGTTTCTGATAGTGGGGATGAGTTGATCTGTGGATATGGTGAAGGAATTGTGGGAGAGAAAACATGCTTCCATGTTTGTCGAGTTCTTTGTTTTTCAGCAGATGAGAGTGAAATGAATGAAGTGATGAGATTTTGGTGGAACGTGTATATATGTGGAATGAGGTTTAATGTGCACCACAAAGTTTTTTGTACGGCATCTACATCTTCTTTTCTATTATTTTGACAAGGGCATCTAATCCAAGTTGGGTGTCTCAAAAGTATGGGCCATTGGATAAACTTTGACAAGTGCATATAGCATGACAAACACGTAGGGTTCCCCGTAACTTTATTTGGGGGTGTTGGATGGATCAAACCCCTTTTTTTGGTGATGTGTCAAGTAATATGCCACTTACTTGCTTCTACACCAACTTCCAACGTTGAAAATGTTCACAACTTGTGGATATTCGACATCGTAGAGAACGACACGCGGGATTCTAAAGATTAAAAGAGAAGAACATCGATAGCATTAAACTAGGGTGGAATGTTAGTGTTGGATTAGTCTGAAATTGATCTCTTATCATGGGTGAAGAAGCACCCAAAGACGACCGAGTAGGTCGATTGGACAAGATTAAAGTCGATGGGTACTAGGAAAGTTTATCATTTGATTAGGGCTTCATCATACGTTTCAAAGTCAATTGTTTATGCATTTATGATATTTGAATAAAAGTATTTATTCAAACTTGAAATGGATTAAGTCTAGGTCAGATAACATGCGGATCAGATCAAAATCAGCATAATCTGTCTGGGCTAAAGTTAAGATGTATATGTACTATTTTAAAATGATTAATATAAACGTGTTAATATAATACTGTGTTATTCAAAATATTATGCATCAATTCAAGCAATTATATTATTAATACATAATGGTTAAGCACAGAATCAAATTAAAACAACTCAGAGTATTACATTAATCCATCTTGGAAACACATTAAATCTATTTTTTACAGTTCAAATTTATGAAAACTAGCAACATCTATAATGCATTAAACCAAGATCTCGATGACCACTGAGATAGTCCAATGAGAGTCTCTCATACTTTGTAAGGGTAGGGATTTACTAATTCTCTAGTTCAAAACAATTCAAGTACCTGAGAAGAAGATGATTATGATTCCAATATAGAAAAAGATGTTTGCATTTATTAATGAGGCTTACTTAACAGAAGGGATGGCACGCTTGGCCCATATGGAGTTGGGCCAATACAAAAAAAAATCTAGAATATCCCGAATACTACACTATATGTCATTACCAAAATTAATGGATAAGTGTATGCACTAATCCTTCTTTCACATCCTCACATCAGATATGTAGAACCCACCCACCTACTGGCCTAACATGAAACTGTAATAAAGAACCAGGTTGATGAATATCGTTTTGATTACATTATATAAAATGATTACCATGAGGTGTGTTATGACGTCCGTAAATACATATGTAGGTGGAAATGAAAAAAAGTATTGATGACAGTGAGTAATACCAAACCTTTTATATATAGAATAGGTCATTTGACCTGGGCAGTGCATCCCGTGTGTACAAAGTTATTCCAATGAGACTACCATGTTCGAAACAGGGTCTAAGCATGCGATGCGATTTCCTATCAGCTTATCACTGGTGACTGTTCGGTTTTAAAGAATCATATATGCAGTTTCCTGATCGACAGTTTCGCTAAGAATAAATACCAATATCGTAAGTTGAACTTTTTTTGAGGTTTAAGTTAAACTGCATTTTAGACTCTAGTGACTACAGGAAAAATACATTCACATTTGTTAAACCCCAAGAAAATTAGGTTATAAAATAGATCAGGGATGAATGTGCTCTAATTATACAGCTTCTGCGTACTCTACTGATCTTACCATGCTGGGAAAATTCCTCCTAGTAATGGAAGATTTATGAACTACACAAAGAAAATTCTTTCCTAAGCCAAAGCAATATAGTCAGATTAGCACCCAAATGCTAAAGAATAACAGTAAAACATATGAAGAAAATGTACCGAATAACATTTATTGCAGAAAAAGAAAGGGGTTTCGAAGTACTCACCGTCTAGAGTGAGATGATAAAGGGCAGAGTATTATCAACATCAACAAAAAAGTATGAATATGATTTACATTCCAACATCCAAAACGATGGCTTGCACAATTTACTTGACATAATTAGTCATCTTGATAACTTTTGGCCATCAAGAGAATTAACATAGATCAAAACAAAGCAGCATAGGCTGAGAGAGAAGTTAACACTGAGAAAAACACAAATGTTCAATGTACAGCAGCATGCAGATTAAATAAAGGTAGCAAGTAACTCTGGAAATAACCCCACCCAAGTAAACGTTTCAAGTTTAATAAAAAAAGGCTGGATTGGTGCCTTGCTATTGCCAACAACCAGCACACAGAAATATTGGTAGAGTCAAAAGTGGAATGGCCACCCAGTATACATATGTTTAAGTGTATTTTCTTTTTACAACAAGCAGTAGACAGGAAATCAGAGCATTTTCTCTTTGCTACTTTCCCTTTCTTTGACTTTACAAAAGATCTCCTGTCAGCATTAGTATGAATGCACATGATGCTTGCACCATATGCATATACAACTTTGTTGCTAAACCAGTGGTCGCAACGAATAACATGATTTGCTTACTTGGTTTTAGTAAACCAGCAACGTGATGAGGACAATTCAAAAATCATATTCCTTTCTTGAAGCATCATTTCAGCAGTGCTATGCATGCTAATGCAACCAAATGATTTTTTTCATCTCTACTGATGGACCATTGGAACAAATTCATCCTGCTGGAGGTCCTGTACCAATCTGTCAATCATCCTATATATATCATCTGATTTAGGGTGTGACTGATCGAGTACAGTAAATTCATGCACTTCGTCTTCTACCTCTATGGAACTAGCCCCAGAAGACTTTTGGCTTCCTGTATTCTTCATTTGTAACCTTACATTGGCCACATTCATCCAATCTCCTGCTTGAGCATAAATATTTGACAGAAGGGAGTAATTCCCAGCATCTGATGGCTCCAACTTAAACAGTTGCTCACACACAGCTCGTGCAAGATCTACATCATTGTGCATCCGACAAGCATTCAAAAGAGTACCCAATATAATGGCGTTTGGTTCCATAGACATGCTGCGCAGAAGCATGAAAGCTTCTTTTAGGTGTCCCCCACGTCCAAGAAGGTCCATCATACAACCATAATGCGCAATTTGAGGAACGATCCCGTACACTTTCTCCATTGAATAAAAATATTTACGCCCTTCGTTAACAAGTCCTGCATGGGTGCAAGCACATAAAAGGCCAACAAATGTACATGTATCTGGCTCAAAACCTTCGTCTACCATTCTAGAGAAAAGCTCAAGCGCTTTCTCACCATGTCCATGCATGGCAAACCCCTGGATCATGGAATTCCAGGACACCACATCTTTCTTCGCCATCATTCCACTAAAGACATCAGACGCAGCACCCAAACAACCACACTTAGCGTACATATCAATAAATGCATTCAACACCTTGGTGCCACATCTAAACCTCCACTTCTTCACAGACGCATGAATTCTCCTCCCCAACTCAAGCATTCCAGACTCAGCACAGGCCGCCAAAATACTAAACAAAAACCCATCATCGGGCCTCAACCCAATCTCCTCCATTTTCTCATACAACTCAGTCGCCTCCCTCGCAAGCCCCTTCTCGGCATACCCCGCTATTATCGTCGTCCAAAGCACCACATTCTTTGCCGGGCACCTATCAAACAACACCCTCGCCATATCCATCTCACCAGCCTTAATATACCCACAAACCATAGTCGACCATGAAACAATATTCCTCTCAGGCATTCTCTCAAACAGGTCATACGCCTTATCCATCTCCCCCGCCTTGGTGTACCCATCCAACATCGTGTTCCAACTAACCATATCCCTCTCAGGCATTTCATCAAACAGCTTGCACGCACTCTCCAATTCACCACATCTGACCAACCCAGCAATCATGGTGTTCCAAGTGACTACGTCCCTTTCCTCCATGGCCAAAAACAAGCTCATGGCCCCATCAAGCCCGACACTCCCACACCTGGAGTACGAATCAATGAGCGAATTGGGCACGAAGATATCCGCGTAAAAACCGAATTTTTCGACATGGGCATGGATCATTCGGACCAAGGGAAGCGACGAAGTGTCAGTACAAGCCTTAAGGAGAAAAGGGTAGGTGAAGTTATCAGGAAAGAGACCGTTTTTCTGCATTTGGAGGAAAGTGTTGAAGGGAAGAGATGGGTGTGAGTGGTTATGAGCGTGGGCTCTGATGATGGTGTTGTAGAGGTGGACGTTAGGGTGGGGGAGCTGGTTGAAGACGTTGACGGCGGCGGCAAGGTGGCGGCAGAGGGACAAGGCAGCGATGAGTTTGGGAGCGACGAAGAGGTCGTGGTGGAGATTGGCTTTGAGAATTTGGGCGTGGATTTGGTTAACATGGTTGAGGTTGGTGCACTTGTGGAGGTGGCTGAGTTTCTCTTCAAGGAGTCTCCGACGAGAGAACCATGTGGGCACTCGCCCTCCTACCGGAACTTGTATTTGCATCGCCACTCAAAGAACACTTCCAGCGTCCGCTATCCTTAAATTACAGCATTAAATGTTCATACAAAACATAAATATATCGTGCTTCACTTGGGTGGAGACAAATTTTTAACTTAATTTCTTTATCTAAAAAATTATTAAATTATACAAAATGTTATTGATTTGGTTTGTCACCTTTACATCCTTACACCTTCTTAATTCAGTTTTGTTAATACTTAATTTAGTCTTTGTATATAACTCATCTTTAATTTCATCTTAATGCATAGTAGCATGTTCATTTAGTCTGTACATTAAAGGGTAAGAATGTGTTACACTAACTTAAGATCAAGAATGTTTTATTTGTAACAACCAAATTGAGAATTTATATGTTAAGATTTTACATCTACTCCATATGTAACCAACATTATCCTATAAATTGGTTTATTTTAGAGTCATTTGAACAATAATTTTTGGAGTAATTTTTACACCATTAACTAATAGAAATTAAACTCAGACTAATAAAACAGAAGAATATCCCAGTAATTTTTTTCTGCTCAAATAAACAATTCCTGATTTTTTTTTCTTTGGGTTTTGAATGAGTACTTCTTTTAAAAAGTTCAACGAAAGGAGTTTTTTTTTTTTTTCCTTGTGATCAGGATGTTTATAAATTCTGAAATTATTCAGATAGGCCCATTTGTGTTGATAAAGCCCACTTGTGTTGATAAATACCTATTGGTAAAGTTTCATAAAATATTTATACTTACTGGCATTTTATTTAAATACCTATTTGATTAACAATTACGTTATGATTCTTAATAAAAATATTATTTCACTAATAAATCATTTAATTAATAATTTTCTTATGAGAAATATAGTATCTTAAATTTAAATAACTTAAAATGGAGAGAAGACGTATCTTAAAACAACCAAACATTGCTTGAGAGAAACATCAAAGTTTCGTACCGTGTTAGTTCTCACAAATCATTTTCGTGTACAAGGAAAGAAAAATGATAGTTTATATATCATACACTAAGACTATTGATGATGATTATTCAATCATAACATATCATTACATGAATGATTTACGCAAATTTCATTGTGTACGGAATTCAATAACTCATGATCAAATCTATGAAATTTTTTGTTTAAGCAAGTTTATATTTTAAAAACAAAAACCGTGAAAAAAAATATATATATATATATATATATATATATATATATATAATTTTATTCACTTAATCTTATCTTTAAAGTGTTCTCGTTGTAAATTTCGTTTTCTATGATAAAAAAAATAAGTTTTAGTCTTGGTAAAGTTTTGAGTTGAATGGTTATATATTGATACAGTTTTGAAACAATTTTTTATTCTATATAATCATTGATAAACTCAAGTAAGTGATTAATTTGTATTTTTTTAATAAATTTATAATTTTATTTTTGATAAGACATTTATCATTTTAATATTTTACTATAATGTAAATTATTCATAATAATTTATTTTTTTATTTTTTTTAAATAAATAGATGTATAATTGATAAAAAAAATCATTAATATAATCTTAAACATTATAAATAATAAATAATAAAAATTTATAAAAAAAAACTTGACAATTATATTTATATATGCATAAAGATTATTAATATGTGTATATAGTGTTTTCATTACAAATTAGAGGAGTAACGACTTTCATATTTAAAATATAGTTCTTTTATATTTAACAAGTTTTAGAACTTACAAATCTCTGGTGGGGTTTAGAAGATAGTGCGTATTTGGTTAAGAAAATAAGAGATAATGAAATTATATAAATTATTTGACAGAAAGAAAAAACTTAAATAAATTAATTCTATATATTAGTAACATATTTTTTATTTTTTAGAATGTAATTATTATTTAAAAAAAACAGATAAGTTTAAATTAAAATTAGTCCGTTTGAATTTAGGTATATTATTTTATTGATTTGGGAGAATTGTGTGAGATTTGACAACTTGGTTGGAGGTTGGAAGCACGTTGATAATTAGGGTTCCTTCCAAATGCCAATTGTGCATGAATAGCAAGTGTCACTCTCACCAAATGCAACTTGCTTATACCAAATAATCTCACATTTTAAATCCCAAACTACAACAACGAATGCACACTTTCTTCTTCACCTCTCTTCTTTCTCCATCAAAAAATAAAAATTATTATATTTATTTTTCACACACTTTACTGTTGTATTTTTATTTTTTTCGTACTTTATTAATTAATCAAAATAAATAATAACGCCTAATAATTATAAAAGTAAAACGTGTATCACTGCAAAACAACGTCACTGGATGTTGTTTTATATTTTTAAAGTGTTTTCTTTGAAACGCCAAACATCATTAGATATTTAATAAATTGGTAAAATACATAAAAATAAAAAATATAATAAATTTTACAATTAAAAATTGAAATAAAAAAGAATTATATATCGAAATTTAAAGTTTAATAGACAAAAATAAACTTGTCCTACAATTTGGCATTGGGGTATGAAACTACCACTACCACATGGGTATTAGAGTATTATCATTTTGGTGACAGTGGATGATGCTGAACTCAAATTTAATGTGCCTTTAAAATTTAAGCCACTTGCTCTTTTTTAGGACCCTGAAACCCTTTAGCTGGCATTTGTATTTATTGTCACTTTTTCTAAACTACTCTGTCTCCTATATTTTATATTTTAACTCAAATATCAATTATTAAATTATGCAAGTAAAAATTAATTAAAAAATTTATAGTAAGAAATGTAATTAAAGTAAATTTTGTGAAAAAAAAATGGTTGAGTGAAAAAATTGTATATTATTTTCTATATTATGAAAGTATTATTTAATAATATATAATGTTTGATTCATTATCTAGCTTTATCTCTTTCTTATATATTTTAATAATATATAATGTTCGATTCACTATCTAGTTTTGTCTTTTTGTTATAATTTTTTATTTTTTTTCATATGATTATTTAGTTTATAAAAAATCTGTAATTAAACTAGCTAAAATAATGATGGTCCGACAAAAAAAGTCGATTATAATTATAAAATTATGAGATTTTAAATATAATAGAACCGATTAAACATTTTTTTTATAAACTTATATAAATAAGAAAAAAAAACTAATAAGATAATATATAAGATATATATATATATATATATATATATATATATATATATATATATAACTTCAAATATACTGTATCCAAAAGTGATTAAAGTTTTACATATTATAGTTAGATTGTATATATAATTGATGTAGTGTTTTTAATTCATTATATATAGTTCTTATTTTTTTAATAATATATTTTATAATAATCTTCTCCATCAGATTTTTTTTATTCAATCTTTTCTTTGCCTTTGGATTTAACACTTCCTTTAGCAGCAGGTGTTGAATTCATGCATGGTTTAACTTCCTCCACGTACTCCTACCTAATTTATATTAATTAGACACAAACTTATCTTCCAAAGCGTAAGAAAAAAAATAACGTCTTGCTTTATATTAGTTTATTTATTTATTATTTTACAATTTTTTATGTGTGAATGAATAGGAACAAATAAATTATATTTGTTATCAAATTATATGAGATTTTGTTAAGAAATGTTTGTTTTTAAATTTAAGATTATAATGTTTTTTTGTTAAATATATTTTTAAAATTTTAATCATATTTATGATAAAAGATATAAATTATGAAAAATAAATTGAAATGAAAAAACATATTAATAAAATAATTAGTAGAGAAAATAATTAATATTGTTTAAGGTTGACATGAGTGGAGAAGTTAGATAATCGATATTTAGAAAGGGTTATGGGATTTTATGTATGTTAAAACTAATATCTTAAATATATTGAGATTCATTTAATAAACTTTTTTTTTCATAAATATCTTTATTTTGGCTGAACTTATAATAACGTGTTTTTAAATACTTAAGATTATGAATTTTTATTGTTTTTTTTTTCTAGTTTATTAGATTATAAATAATTTCAATTGTCTAACAAATTTTAGTATGCTAACGTTTTTTTTTTCAGGATTTAAAAATATGAATAACAAAGAGAAAGAAAAATAAAATAAAATTCATGATACTACTAAACTTAAATATACAGAAAAAAAGTGTAAATATCATAACTAGAAAGCGAGGCGGTAATGATAAAAAAAAAGATATATATATATATATATATATATATATATATATATATATATATATATATATATATATATATATTGTGAATACAATGTTACTCTACTAAATTTGTCGGAAAAACAAACTATTTCGTTTCTGAATGAAACAATGTAAAAAGTTTACTAATTTTTACTCTCTTGTTTTTTTCTTCTTGCTTGTTAACCTCACATTAAAATATGTCTTTTACTATCATTCTTAAAATGGTACGTGATCAAATCATGTGGAATTAGGGTTTAAATATTTAAATGAAAATTAAATTGAATTTAATAAAATAATATATTTTAATAATATATTGAATAATTTTAATATAATATAAATATTAATTGTAAAAATATTATATAATAATAAATATAATTTTATAAAATATAAAAAAAACATTAATACACATATCATCAAATATTTTGAATACATAATTAATGAAAAAATTTGTCACTATACTTAATTTAAAAATAATTAGAGAAAAAATTATAACTAATTTATAAATAATTAAGTAAAAAAATTATATCTAATTTAAAAATAATTAATAAAATTACAACATATCCTCAAAAATTATATGTTTTATTTTATTTTAAGACATACTTATTAAATATAAGGATAATTCACTATATTTAAAAATACTATTTATCTATTAAATTAATTTTTTAAATTAAAAAATTGTGATTTTTACATGTTATTGTATTTTAATAAATGATTATAATGATATTAATAATAAATAACGAATATACAAGAGATGATGTGGGAAAGAGATAATCAAAATAATAAATAACAATAATAATATATTTACTAGACGATGTTAGAAAAAAATAATGAAAGTAATGAGTGGTGATAATAATACAATTATAAATACGAAGAGAATAATATTACACAAATATAAAAAATAAGTTTATTTTTTCACATTTGTCTTTAGGTTTAACTAAAAAAAGAAAAAAATAAAAATAAGACCACATTATTTTATATCATTTTTAGAATTGTTTAACTATATGACTTTTGTTTTTATAAATAAATAATAAATTTTAATTAAAAAGATAAACCATCTCTCTTATGATAATTAGAATGAAATATTAACACAAAATGGAAAATAGTTATTCAAAACTGTATATTATATTATATTAATTATTTTTCTGCCAAAATATTTTCAATCCTTCTTGAACGAAAAAATATTAAATTAATAAGATAAACTTTTTTTTTAAAAGAAAAGTCCTTACACAAATTAGTTAAATGAAATAACATATTTTGTTAATTTTATAAATAAATTACATAATTATAATAAGTAATAGATAGATGCAAGATAAAAAAAAATGTGAATGTCCTAAAACAAACAGAAAGAAAAGAAACCAAACCCAAAAACAAAGGGTATTAAAGAAAAAATATATAAGAAAATAAATATTTAATAATAATAATAATAATAATAATAATATTGAGTTTTGCACGACACCAAGTGGACTTTGCGCTGAGAGTGTTGAAGATAACAACACAAGCGAAACCCACTGTTTTGGTGCTTCTCTCTTCTTCCATAATTTTCTCACCCACCACCCATGTCCACTCCCAACGCCGATTCCGGCACGGCGCCGCCTCCGCGCCCCACAATCACCCTCCCTCCGCGTCCCTCCGCCGAGGCCTTTTTCTCTGCCGTCGGCGGCGCCAGTCCCGGTCCCATGACCCTCGTCTCCAGCTTCTTTGGCTCCGACGCCGCTGCTGACTGCCGCTCCTTCTCCCAGCTCCTCGCCGGCGCCATGGCCTCCCCCATGGCCTTCTCCGCTGCCGACAACTCCGGCAAGGACGATGATGGGCCTCACAAGGGCTTCAAGCAGAGCAGACCCATGAATTTGGTCATTGCTCGTTCCCCTGTCTTTACTGTCCCACCCGGGTTGAGCCCTTCTGGGTTTCTTAACTCCCCTGGCTTCTTTTCCCCTCAGGTGATTAATTTCGCTAGTAATAGTGCTTCCCGAAGGGGGGTGGTGTTTTTGTGAAGATGTGGTTTTTTTGAAAGAAGGGTGTAGGATCGGTTGATTGGGCATGGGGGATTGTAGTTTGGTGATTTTGGGGTTATCTGTTTCTTCAGGGAAGTGTTTGTGAGCTCTGATAGTAATATAGTACTCTCAACAATTCAGATTTGATCTGGATTTAATCCAATTGTATTGTGTTATGTTTTTAGTGGACTACTTCAGTAGGTCTAAGGGTTTCTGGGTTTTGGAGTTGTATATGAGGATTTTCAGACAAAGGGTTGATTATTTAGAGCACTTAATTGGTGAATATATCAATTTGAAGTAAAAAGTTTGAATTTGGTGTTGTTGGAGGGGTTGGTCGAGTGATGGCAGTAGGATTAAATCAATTTTTTACAAAATGTCCAAATTTCTAGAGGTATTTATGTGTTAAAGTAAAATGGTTTTTGTTTTCATTACCTTGATTCTTCAATGATAGTTTTGATATGGTGTTTTTGCAACAACAGAAAATGAAGACAAAATTCGTGGCTGAAAAAGCGATCTCCGTGAGTCACTCGATAGTGATTAAAACGAGATATTTTCCATGTCTACGTTGATTAAGCAACTCAATGATTGGATTTATTTGTCTTCTTTGAAGGATTATTTTAGCTTTGCATTCTACTTGTTCATAACTGCATGCTGTCATATGTTATTGAAGATTCGTTTTGCCCTTAAAATTTTGTTTCGTTTTTATTTCTGGATAACTGTGATCTTTTGCTTGGTCCTGCTGTTTTGGGTGTTTATTCATTATGATAATTTTTATTACTGTGATCATTTTGCTTTGGGATGGTAGATATACTTGTTTGAGGTTTTCACCATCTCTTCAATTTGATGGATACAGAGCCCTTTTGGGATGTCCCACCAACAGGCTTTAGCACAGGTTACAGCTCAAGCTGTCCTAGCACAATCTCATATGCACATGCAAGCTGATTACCAGATGCATGCAGTAACAGCTCCTACTGAACCACCAGTACAACAGCCGTCTTTTGCTGTAAATGAAGCTTCAGAGCAGCAAATAGTTTCATCTGTATCAGAAGCTAAAATTGCTCAATTGGAACCGTCGGATTTCTCGCAGACTGATAAGAAATATCAGCCGAATTCCCAGATCATTGACAAACCTGTAGATGATGGCTACAACTGGCGTAAGTATGGGCAGAAGCAGGTTAAGGGCAGCGAGTATCCACGAAGCTACTACAAATGTACACATCTGAATTGCCTTGTGAAGAAAAAAGTTGAGCGTGCCCATGATGGTCACATAACTGAAATTATCTATAAAGGTCAGCATAACCATGAAAAGCCTCAGGCAAATAGACGTGTCAAGGATAACAGTGATTCAAATGGAAGTGCAATTGTTCAGCCTAAGTCTGAGTCAAACTCACAAGGTTGGGTTGGACAACAAGTAAACAAGTTTAGTGAAAACATTCCCGATTCTTCAGTCCCTGAAAGTGACCAGACCTCCAATCAAGGGGCTCCTAGGCAACTACTACCTGGGTCAAGTGAGAGTGAGGAAGTGGGTGATGTAGATAATAGGGAAGAGGCAGATGACAGTGAGCCAAACCCTAAGAGAAGGCAAGTTTAACCATGTCGATCCTTTATTACACAGATATGCACTTCTATATTCTTCACGATATATAGTCAAATTTCTGCTTTTCAGGAATACTGATCTTGCAGTTTCTGAAGTACCTCTGTCTCAGAAGACTGTCACAGAACCCAAAATTATTGTTCAAACAAGAAGCGAAGTTGATCTTTTGGATGATGGCTACAGGTGGAGAAAGTATGGTCAAAAAGTGGTGAAGGGAAATCCTCATCCTAGGTGATTCTTTTACTCTATGCTATACTATTTATTATAAAAGATTTGTATGATCATATTTCTCAAAAACTCGGAATATGTTTAAATTTTAAACAGTATATTGCTTTGGAATCATATAACTAATTGCATTGAGTTTGATTATCTTAATAGTTATAATGTTAATCAAAGATACAAGATTATGTTTTCTGTATCTTCTATTGACGTCAGCTATAAAAATATTGAAGACAAATTAATTATCAAGCTTCTGTTTTTTATGGTATAAGGTGAATTATTCCAACAAGGTTATAGGAAGTTTAGGTTTGATTTTCTTACATGAAATTCAGTCTCTGTTAGTTTTGTATAATGTGTAGCAATTGGTAATATGAAATCACTTTCTCTACTTGTATTACGTGCATTCACTATAGTTGATTTCAAATGGGTACTATGTGCCTTAAACAAATGTACACAATAGGTATGTCTATGGAAAACTTCTAAATTTTATGTCAGGGTTATTTGTCTGATGTAAAAAGTCCGTCGGTGTAATTTCTGAAGCTAAAGAGGGAGTTTCATGTGTTTCTTAACCTCAAGGAGGTAATCTAATAATTCATACATACAAACCTGTGTTGATTGATTCTCCCTCTTTCAAAATTATCATTTGGTTTTTAACCAAGGATTATAAATATCTTAAATGTAAGTGTATTTGACAATATTTCCCTTTTGCTTCTTGACGTTTTGCTATCATTTCATTCAGTGGAGATAGCAAGAGATAAGGATGAAGTTAGAGAAAATAATAGATGTCTTCATAGTTTTCATATTATTTTCTCAAGTCTTTCTTTAAATGAATCTAGTAAGTGGTACATTCGATGGGAAATTTGGAATGCAATATGCAAAGTTGTTGAAAGAATCTGGTAACTAAAATCAACAACCACTTGCTTGCTTTCTACTAGGAGCTTTTTAACGTTTTGTAGTTGTTAATTCAGTTTCTATCCAATTTTTTAAATTTAAAATTAGAGAAATTTGTTGTTTCATCCCATAATTTAATAAAAAAAATTAATTTATATTGGTTCACATAAAAAGTTATCTTTATTCTCACATTGTGTATGCTTCTTTTGATTCTGAGGTGTTTTCACTTTTATTTTGCTCTGCTGTATTGGTATCCTTACCTGGGAGAATCCGCAGTTTTCCCCTACCTACATTGATGTTGTAATCTTTTGCTGCTGTTTCTCTTTGGACTAGTGAGCGTTCTGATTATCAGCACCAGTTCAGCAGTGTCTGATATGTGTCTTTGCATTTCTGTATGACATTGTCTAGCTATTCTTTTTCAACATGAGATAATCATAATAATAAGATCATGATTCAAGTTTTGTTCCTGTAACATCCTTACAATATGGCTTGGCTATTGGTTTGACCTTACTGTCAACATTCGGCCCTCTCCCCTGTGCCCTCAACCCTCACTGAAATGAATGAAGTTCGATAGGAAATGTTTCTTCCTTTTGTTTCTTTCTTGAAGCTAGTGTGTTCTCATCTTTTGATTCTTTATCCTATGTTTGTTTCCCTAAGATATACACACTTCCCTTTGCCAAAGTGTATGAGGACACAGCGACTCATTCTTTCAATCTGACAACAATTCCAAAATAAGTGTTGTTTATAGGCTTATAGCCTTGAATGTATTCTGGTTTTAAATACTTTTAACTTGTCTGGTGCTGAATTTCTATAAACAGGAGTTATTACAAATGCACTAGTGCAGGATGCAACGTGCGTAAGCATGTTGAGAGAGCTTCAACCGACCCCAAAGCTGTCATAACCACGTATGAGGGTAAGCACAATCATGATGTGCCTGCTGCTAGAAATAGCAGCCACAACACAGTTAGCAGCAATTCAATGCCATTAAAACCGCACAGTGTCGTTCCAGAGAAGCATCCTTTGCTTAAAGATATGGATTTTGGAAGTAATGACCAAAGACCTGTACATTTGCGCCTAAAAGAAGAACAAATCATAGTATAACGTGTGGTGTCACTTTCACTTATTGCGCCTCAAGTACAGAATGATGTTGTCTAGATTATGAAATGGATAATATGAAGGTGTAGTCACTAGTCAGAGTTGGCAATGGTTAGTGCATGTTTATTGTTTTCTAGTTTCTCTGTATGTAACACCTTCTTTTGTACATCTAAATGATGGAATTGATTGTATAAGATGTCGTTTACAGGTATGAAGATCATTTAAACTAATGTACGAACATTATTATATAATTTATAAAATACTCCTTGTAAGTTGAAAGGTTCTAGAGTACAAATAAAGCTGAAAAGCTTGCATTGAACTCCTTTTGTATGTTATGGAAGTTTAATGAATGTCTTTGCTAACTTTAATAATCTTAATGGATTTATCTGCGTAGCCGTCCCCACTAAGTGGGACAAGGTTTATACTTGTTTATCATAACCTTGTAAACTTATATTGTTCAGATTTGATTCTGGTAAGGTAGCGAGGTGTTGAATGATGTTGACCTCATATATTATTGTTCACATAGTGAGATATTTCAAGTTAAATCTAACAAAAAATTTGACCTCATATATTATTTTTCTCTTTTCTCAAACATATTTTCTGTTTTTCTTCAATCAATCATTTTTAACTTTTATTTTAATTTTTTCTTATCTTTTGAACTGCCATAGTTTAAACTATTTTATGAGATTATACACGAGTTTTCATCAAATTTTAAAATATCGTTTACCAAAAAATACACGACCTTAAAAGGAACTATTAGGGTTATTTTTCTAAAAAGCAAAAATTCGGTCACAGGAATTGAAAAATTCTCCTTTTTTCCAAAAATATTCAGGAATTGAATTCAGTTAACCATTTCAAATTATCTTATACTTAAAAATCCAGCTTTAATGATTGTATTTATTTTTTCTATTTCAAATCCATATTTGAAATATTTGAAAGATTAAAATTACATGTTAATCGTAATAAAGGGATATAAAATATAATGAAAAAAAAATTATGTAGTTATTTGCTTATTTATGTGTGATATTGAGGTGGTGGCCTCTGTATGTTCTTGATAATCTGACAAGAAAGATAGAAAGTAACTAGCCATCTGCTGCTCCCTTTATTATTTTCTAAGGATGGTGGTCAAAACATTAAAGTTTAGACTTATTTAATTTAACTCATTCCTTTTTTTTTTCTTTTTTCTTTTCTGTTCACTTTACTCGTGCCAAGGAATCTTAGTAACATAGTTTTAGATATTATTTTTAGTTTTAGTAAACTGTGTTGAAAATTTTTTTTCAAGTATTTTTAGCCACAGAGTAACTTTTAGTAGTTAACGAAGGAAAAAAGCTTATATCAGTCTGGCAGGAAAATTATAAATTATACATATAATAATGACAAATAACAATTATTATGTGTCAACATCATAATGGAATTTATCATAAAGTAGTTTATTGAGTGGGAGAATTGAAGTAAGTTGAACAAGATATTAAATCCTTTTCTGACTGCAAGATGTGAGCATTACTCAAAACAATGATTAAGTGATGCTTAAATCAGAAGTTTCTCTCTCTCTCTCTCTTTTTTTTTTTTTTTTTTTTTCCTTTTGCAAATACTATATTTTTGGAAGACAATATAATTAACAAAAAGGCCAACATCAACATAAACAATGAAAATTCAAACCTTTAATTCTGTGTGAGAGATTAATAATTTTATTAAACTAAACAAACAATTATTGGTAGTTTTTATTATTAATACTGTATAACTGATACATGATGCAAAGCTACGTGATTTAAACTCTGGTAATTAAATATGTATCATTCATTGCTTTCTTTTATCAGGGAAAGGAGAAAAATCATACAAGAGAATGATGGCTTCGAAAAGCCCCAAAATCATGAACTACATCACTTTAGTCACATAATCAAAATACAATCAAAACCAGAAACAATGATGAGCCACGTAGTCATGAATAGTTTAAAGGAAGAACATCATAACCACAATCACTCACTGAATATGTAAATGATCAAATCTGATTCTTCCAACCCATCCAACTAACTCCATCATGCGTTTGAATGGTGCTGTAAGAGAGTTGGCATGCAGCCATCATCATGCACCATGCCAATACAACACACTCTCTCTTTCTCTTTCCCTTTCTCTTTGTACTTCTCTGTGTATCCAACCAAAGCGACAAACAAACAGAAAACAATAACACATCCTCCCAACCGTTACATTACACCTTTCTCTCTCTTTCTCTCTTTCTTTTCTTTCTTTCTCTTACAATAGAACACCAAAAGCAGATATGCACCCATTGGGACCCGCGAATGTCTCACGACCGTTCGCGACATCCTCGAAAATCCTCCGCAGATCTCGCGACATAGAGAGAGAGAAAAAAGAGGGTTGGATATTGATTAGTGGATTGTGCCATTTTTGGAAGAGAGAGAAAAACACCGGACCGAAGGAGCAAGGGAAGAGCAACAAAGCCACCAGTTTTTCTTCCTCTCCTCATGCTTCACTTCTTTGGTTTCTCTCCGTTTTCTCTCTGATTGTTTCGTTTTTCTCCTTAGGCGTTTTCGCGACCCGTTTCCGAGCCCGGTCGGAGCCGCCGGCAAATGGGCTGTGCGAGCTCGAAGAAAGCGGTTGCCGGAGGCGGTTTCACGCCGCCTGGGCCGCTCGAGGTGCGTTCGAGCTCGCGGAGGCTGCGCAATGGAAAGTTGCGAAACGGCGTCGTGGAGGCGCGTGAGGGGGACGCGAGATCGGAGGAGGTGAAGGAGGGGAAGAAGGGGAGCTTGAGATGTTCGGTGTCGTTGAGGTTTTCGGGTAGGTTTGTGGAGGCTGAGCAAAATGCTGCTGGGTGGCCACCTTGGCTTACCTCTGTTGCCGGTGAAGCCATTCAAGGGTGGGTCCCTCTCAAAACCGATTCTTTTGAGAGATTGGATAAGGTACCTCCACACCCCATTTCCATCTTATCAATCATCAATGTATGGATATTCAAGTTGAAAAATGATAAATAACCATCTCAAATCTCAAATACTGAATGACAAATTAATGAGAGAAAAAAATGTTGGTATGATAGATTATATGATCAACAGGAAGAGACATAACAAATAAAAAGGTGATGTCTGTTCACCCAAGTTTATCTTGACATAATGCTGTCTTCTAATTAAAATTTAGGTTTCGCTTCGATAATTTTGCATGAAAGATTCTTTTAAAATATTATCACGTATAATGAAAATAAAACTCCAGTTCTAATTGGAAAACAACAGCAATGACACGATAGGTAGTTCATTATCATCAACATTGTTTAAATATGTAATTGAATGTAAAAAAGGATAAAACTTACGAGCAAGTTAACGAAATCCTCTTTTTAGTGTTGTTTTCCATCATATATTAGAGTTACCCGTGCTAATATTTAATAAATATTTATCATGAATCTCCACTTCTGATTAGGAAATAATATCAAAAGTATACGAGGAATTACATCTAAGTTTTATCTCTTGCAATTCAATTGGAATTCGAGTTATTCAATTGGTGTTTTTCAATTAGAATTCGAGTTTTAACTCGGTAGTTCATATAATAAAGGAATGTGTTGAAAGTTAACCTATATTGTTGTGGTGAACTCCAATTTTGTTGAGAACAATCTTCTTGAAAAAAAAATGAATGCTTTTTGTGGGGATTACGTGTAAATGATGGTTGGGCCAAGTTCATGCAGGCTTTAACTTTTGCTGTGATGATTTTGTTTAAAGACGGCAATAAGCTTTGTGGTATGATGAGCCGTATTATGAGATGGAGACTTTTTTTTTCTTTTACCTTTTATAATTTGGTGGAAAATAAATTATGAGAGTGTCGGGACATTTGTTTTCTTGTATTTAAAGTTTTAAACATTGGAGGTAACTTCAGATGCGTTCAAGTATGCAGAACAAAGTTAATTAACAAATCTTCTGATCAAACATAACATATCAAAAGTTGAAATTTTTGCATTTAACTATTAGAAAAAAATAAAATCCTGTTGCTAATCTCCGTCATGAAGATCTGATGATATTTTGACCAGTGATTACATAACACGACCGTTTTTTTAAATCCAGACTTGGCAAAACCGTAGTATTGGCAGAAAATTTATGTGAAAATATTTGATGTTAGATTTGTGAATCAGCTCATGAACCAGCAACTAGCTTTTAAAGAACAGAGACAATATCTTGGCCTTATTATGGCTTATTATTGACATGTGCTTAACATTTATCTATTCATGACAAATTCTTTTCTGTAGATTGGACAAGGTACATATAGCAATGTATTCAAAGCACGTGAAGTTGAAACTGGGAGGATGGTTGCCCTGAAGAAGGTGCGTTTTGACAAATTTCACGCCGAGAGCATTAGGTTCATGGCGAGAGAAGTAATAATTCTTCGTGCACTTGACCACCCAAACATCATGAAATTGGAGGGTATAATTACTTCACAACAATCGAACAGCATATATTTTGTATTTGAATACATGGAGCATGACCTTGCTGGCTTATTAGCTTCTCCTGATATAAAGTTCAGTGAGCCACAGGTTTGTCTCATTTTGTCTGCATTTCATTTGCATAATTTTGTGACTTATTAGGTTGGTTACTTAAGCTTGATGCGTTAGATGTTACCTTAACTGCTGTTTCATATTTTACTCTACAGATTAAGTGTTACATGAGACAATTATTTAGTGGAATTGAGCATTGCCACCATCGAGGTATTATGCATCGAGACATTAAAGTATCTAATATATTAGTGAACAATGAAGGTGTTCTCAAGATAGCAGATTTTGGATTAGCAAATACCATTTGTCCAGATAGTAAGCAATCCCTAACAAGTCGAGTGGTGACTCTATGGTATCGTCCTCCTGAGCTCTTGATGGGATCAACAAATTATGGAGCTTCGGTGGATCTATGGAGTGTGGGCTGTGTATTTGCTGAACTTTTTCTGGGGAAGCCCATCCTTAAGGCCAGAACTGAGGTAATCCTCATTATCAATGTGTTTAATCAATATTTTCATTTACTAGGAAAGCTAACAACACAGTCTAACATACTTGTTCTAACTGGAATTTACCATATCACCACATCACGTTAATGAATAGGATCATGAAATTGCCATGCGGATTTGACTTCAGGGAGATAAACTTCAAGACATGATTCATCCTTCCAAGGATAATCAAACAAAATAAAATTTAAAGAAAAAAAAAGGAAACAAAGGAATTTACTAGGCTTGAGAGCATGAGAGCAAGAGTATTATCAATGCATCATTTTCATTTGTTAGGCTAACACTAAAACTTTGGTTGCTTAATTTGTTGTATGTTCCTATTTATTCTACAGGTTGAACAATTACACAAAATTCTCAGGCTTTGTGGGTCTCCACCTGATGAGTACTGGAAAAAGTGTAAGCTTCCTCTGGCCGCAATGTTTAAGCCTCAGATTAATTACGAAAGCTGCCTTAGAGAGAGGTGTAGAGATTTTCCTGTAACTGCTGTAAACCTAATTGAGACTTTACTTTCCATTGATCCCTCCAAGCGTGGGACTGCCTCCTCTGCACTCAAGTCTGAGGTGAATTCTTCGCACATATTGTCTTCCTTTTACAATACGGTTTCTGTTCAGGATAACGAATGACTTTTCATGAGTTAACTTTCGAGGATGTTGTTCCATGTGTATTTTTCATAATTGTTATTCCGAAAGTGCTCTTTTTATTTAGATGTTTGTTCGCTGTAGGCTATTCCACGTATTATGTTTCTGATTCTATGCTTCATGTTGGACCTGTTCTAGTATTTCACCACCAAGCCATATGCTTGTGATCCATCACTCCTGCCAAAGTATCCACCAAGCAAAGAAATGGATGCCAAAAATCGGGAAGAAAGCAGGTATACATTATTGCAGTTTTTTCTTATTTATAGAAATTTTTTATGGTAAAGCTGTATTACACTTGAATTGTTCTCCTGCATTGCGTCTTATTCATGAATTTAGTTATTATTAGTACTACTATAGGGAATGGAAATTAAAGGTTGCATCATCTTCAAAAAGGCCAAGGCCTAACATTTGGTCACATTCACATATGTTATATCAAAACCTTATGCTGCAGAATTAGGCCTCTGAAGTGAAAAAATTAATATTTATAAACCTGGAGGATAAATTATTAATTCTGTTTCTAATCTTTATGATCATAGTCTTTTTATGCTTTTATATATTCATTTACACCATTCACCAGGTCTAAACTTGAGTATCTTAACCATCATATTATTTAAATGGGTTAGTCTACTTAATTTTGGTTTCTATTGAAACTACATGCTTAATTTATTTCCAATTTCTGAGACTGAAGTGTTTGTCTTGTACACAGGAAAAAGAATGGAGGTAAGGGGAGAGAGGCTGTAACTTCAAGGAGGCATAGACGAGTCCACAAAGTTGCCCATGACCATATCAATTTCTCCAAGTCAGCTTTGAAAGAGGTGCTCTTGCTTTCAGTCACAATGCCACACTGCTTGAAGAAAATAACTACTTTTTATTCACTTCTTTTTTTGTTTGTTTGTGAAGGAAATGCAGAATATTTCTCAAATTGCTGGTACAGATGATGGTTGGCCAACTGTTGCAAAAGTTAATAAAGAGCAACCAAAGCCTTCATGTGATGCAAAGTCAGAGGCTGCACAACTGGTGAATGGTTGCAATGGATACGGTGTACACTCTGGACCAGGACCAGCACCAGTATCAGCATCCAGTGGCTTTACATGGGCTAAAAGAAGAAAACCAGAAGCTTCATTCATATCGTCTGATGGATCAAGAAGCAAAATCAGTGGTCTGGATCCAACTTTTGCAAAAGGCACATATGATTTAACAAAACATGGGATAGAAGTTTCAGAAAGGAAACATATTTTCAACACAAGGAATCAGGATAGGACTTCCAACTATGTATTGCCAAAATACCATGCTCCTCGCATCCAACAAAAGTCATTCGATTTAGCTGATACATGCGACTCAAATTATTACATGGAATTTGATTTCATAGATAAATTGGATGCTCTGTTGGATCAGGTAAGTTTGAAATCATAGGTTATCATTGTTGATCATGGACTATATATGCCACTTATGATAACATAAATGATATCTGTCAGATTTGGCAACTAACACTTTATATGTGTTTTTAATCAATGGTTGGACATAATTATTTCTAATGGATTTAATTTTTTTTACTCATTAGTTGTTGTAAAACTTTCTTTACTATTATTTTAAAAAGAATAATGCATAACTTATTCCTGCAAAGATCAGTAACATCACAATGATTTTCAAGTGATAATTTTAGTCACTAATTCGCTCCTATGAATAATAGCTTTGGGACTATTTTGATGTTCACAAATTAATGCCAGAGAACCAATCTGGTCTGTTGTAAACCAAGTTATTGTTCTTAGAATCTTCGGATGATCAAAATGGAGGTTTTTGATTTACTTTTGATGGAAATTCTTATTTAGTAGTGTTGTTTTCACTGAGTGTGGATCATATATGAAATCCTGATATGAATCAAAATATCCATGTACTCTATTTTAATCAGGTTGCATCATATTTTATGTACCAAAACTTTTGCAGGACCACAGAAAAAATGGTGAGCCTGTGAAGCAGTCAGCACCAAAAATGATTGCATCAAATAAAAATTATGAGTTCTTGCATTAGAATGAAAATAATATGCTGCAATCTCTTCGTATATCAAGGTTAGGAAGCGGTAAAGAGACTACTTTTATCTTGGGTGATGCTACACGCACCAAACTTCCTACACCTCCATTCAGTGCTATTAGATCCACTGGTAGGCTATTGCTTATCACTCCTTTTTTTTTTTTTTTTTTTTTTCCGTAAGAAAATATTGTTCTCAAGACTTTGTTAGATACTTTCACACTTGAAAAATTCTCCATCACTAAATACATAAAAAGATGAAAGAGAAAAAGATACAATTTTTTTGAAAGAAATTCTCATTTACAATTTCTACAAAAAAGAGAAAATATAAGATGAGTGAGAAAAGTGTGAAATAAGAGGAATGATGTCAGAAACAGAGAAAATGAAGTATTTACATAAGTTGTATGAATATGATATCTCAACTACTTTCCTTATCTGCACATCTCACATAGTTTAGACATTTTTTTACCTGTTGTTCTTTCTGTCTATCATTTTCCTTATCTGCATTCATTGAATAGTTAGATGAGAAACTCAATCTAATGTTGCAATATTTCTTCTTTGGTCTCTAACTTCAGTTTTAAGGGTAAATCAGAAGTTGTTAGTAAATGCAACTTGTCATGAATACCAGTATATCAATTTGTGTATTACAGACCATGAAGCAAGGATTGTAAAAGAGGATTAATCTCACATCAGCAAGGAGTGCATGACTAAGAAAACATTGTGGCCATTGATGGAATCATTTATGAATATCTGAACCATTCTGACTTGTACCTCAGCCTCTTGATTTGGGAATAGTACCCCTCCTTTTGTTCACTACAGGGTTAAGTGATCATACAGGTTTATCATAGTTCGTATAGGACTAACACTGAAATATGTATAGGATTACAGTAACAAATTTCATGTTCGGTGATATGCTTAAGGAAAGGTTAACCTTTCTAATAGAACTTTTTAACCATGGTACTAGTACATGTATTCATTTATTTATTTCATCATATTCTCTCAAACCTTATGTATGCAGCATTGCAGACATTAAAATTTTGTAAAATGAGAGAAACATCAAGTGTTATATCTAAAAATTCTCTTGCTCTTGCAAAACCTCAAAAGGACTATTTAGGCAATGCAAAGTACTACAATGAAGTTACTGCAATGTTGTTTTGATATAAACAATCTCGTTTTTATTTTACATTTTTTGTGTTCTTTCGTGGTTACATAAATTGTAATGCTACCAGTTTATGGTCATCTCAGTAAGTTTCAACATGGAGCAATGGACGTGTGGTAAAAAGATAAAAATATTTTTATTGCAAAAGAAAATATTTATCATATAAAAACAATGAAGTTATTTAATGTTGTTAGAATTTAATTTCAGCCCTAGATTTTAACTTTCAGTTTTTAGTTTGTAATTAATTTTGTAACCCAATAATGGTGTACTCTCCTGAATAAGAGTACCACTCATAATTTTGTGCAAATTATTGTGTGATTGTACTCGTGTGAAGAATATAAAGAAGAAGAGAGTAAGAAATTTATCTTGTATCATGACAAGGGACGGTGGAAATTTTGGAATCCTAGTAGCGCATAGAAGTGGTGAGAGTTTTTTCCCCGTATGGAGGTTGGTGTATACAGAAAATGGTATGGTAAATGTTGACAATTTGAACTTAAGTATTGACCAGGTTTAACAAATGTTTATTTATTTTTAGTAATTCAAAACATTTAATGATATATATTTAATAAGGAAAAAAGGAATGATGTGATATAATAAGATGGAGAAACAAAAGTGATGTTCACGTTGATAGAAACAAAACCATGCCACTAGCCACAGTAGATGTTATTCTACATGAACAAGGGCAATGACTGCATTATGAAAAATGTTAGCTCAGCTGTTTGCTGAATAATATTATCTGTGTCTGTATCAGTATCAACTGAGGCAGGAGGAATTTGACATCAAATAAAATTGATACGAATTTTTAATCATTTAATTCAGAACGAAGCAGATACATAAAACCTTTGAAAGGTTCATGTAAATCCTAGATATGTGTTAGGAAAAATTATAAACGATTAGTTAGTTTAATTAACTGACACGTGTGGGGGTGAGGGTCAGTGACTATATAAGGTCAGGTTGACATCATTGTAAAGTGTGGATTTTTTTGTATTCTTGCTTCTCTTGTAACAATAGATCAGTTTCAATTTACGAACTCGGAATCTTTCTCTGTCTTGGGTTTCCTGTTTCAGTTTCAGTTCTTCGAATATTATAATTTCCTAGAGCTAGTTTATTCACATCAATTGGTATCAGACTACGCGGTCCTTTTGTAGTTTTTGGTCATGGCTGACGCAACTCGTAGTGCGACAACAATTAAAGAATTGGAAGAAAAGATTTGTAACCATTTGGAATCTCGGTTAATGGAGCTTGTAGGGTCCATGTAGAAAAATTTGGGTGATTGTCTGAAAAAACAAATTCAAGAATTGGTTAATGATGGGAAAAATATGCTGAATCTTCCCATACGGTCAGATATGTGAAAGTGAAATAAAAGCGGAATAATTGCACACACCAATTGATAACGGAGTTTGGCTAATAATGCCTACGTCTCCGGACTACTGCAGATCTCTTAGTAGGAGAAAAGAAAAATACACAAGTGTTTACAAAACACTCTCAAAAAACACTCACAACCCAATTACACCCAGAAGCTAAACTAAAACTCTCTAGTTTTTCTGCCTCTCGCTGGTGCCACTCTTTCTTCTCTAAGAGAAGTAATATTTTTGTGTGGGATGGTGTTAGATATTATTTGATATTGTTAAGATATTGTTAGATATTGGTAACCACAATATCAAATAATATCTTCTGTTTATTCTGTTACTTTCAGTTACTCTTTTAGTTGTATCTCTCTACTATAAATAGACCACCCTATGTGTGATTTATACACAAGGGAAATTAATTCCAAACCCTATTTTCTCTATATTCAACATGGAATCTAGAGCTTAAGGTTATCTTGAATTTTTTTTTTCCGCCTTTTGTTCACTGTTGGAGCCGTCCCACCGCTGCTAGAGCCGCCCCACCGCTGCTGGTAAACTGATCCTCCACATCAGAAAAGAATTATCTTTGTCATTGAATTTTATTTGGTAGTGTGAAAGTGCATGTTTAGGAAAGTTCTGGCAAGGAAAGACTTGGTATTTAAGTGTGTCCATTAGTGACCCACCTCTCTTTCCTGGGAACTTACCTGGTGTACTAGTTCACGTTACTGTCACCGCTGCCGCTGGAGCAGTCACCGGGTCCGCCGCTGTCGGAGAATTCGCCAGAGTTTCATTTTTTTTTACCGGTGACATATGATTTTGCTTGTCTCGGTCAGGTGACCACCGTGCCATTGAGATCACCACTATCGGAGTTGGTCGTCCCATTGTCTCCTGCACCGTTTAGTCTTGGTGAACTTATTTTTAGTATTCTCATTTTGGATTTGTGTTTCGTGGGTTAATTGGATTACTTTGGATTGTTTTAGGGTTTGTTCTCCCGCTCTTCATGACTTCTTCCACTATTTCTAATTTTGTTAACGATTCTTTTGTGTTGACATCCCATCGTGATGACCGGGCTCGCCCTCGCAAACAGGAAAAAGGGCGTCCTAAGTGTGAACATTGTGGCAAGCTAGGTCACAAGATTAACAAGTGTTATACATTACATGGTCGTCCTCCTCAGTCTGCTGTAGTTGTTCAGACAAATCTTTCCCCACCTTTATCTGCAGGGGATCTTCCTTCTTCTGTTGCATCCGACATGTCTGCTATGTTCAACAAATTTCTCGAATGGTATAAGGATCAACAGTCTTCTAGTTCCACTATATCTGTCACACATACAAATACATATTTTGCTGGTCTGACCCAATCATTTTCTCCTGGTCCTTGGGTTTTTGATTCAGGAGCCACTGATCATATTACTGGTAACAAATCTTTGTTCTCCTCTTTATCCTCTCCTAATCATTTACCTTCTGTTACACTGGCTGATGGCTCTAGAGTATCATCTCATGGTGTTGGAATGGTTAAACTTTTTCCTTCTTTAACCATTGATAATGTTCTTTATGTCCCTGGGTCTCCTTTTAACCTGTTGTCCATCAGTCGTCTAACTCGTTCTCTTGATTGTGTTGTTACTTTTACCAACAATTCTGTGTGTTTACAGGACCGGAGTTCGAAACAGGTGATTGGCACAGGATGTGAGTCTCATGGTCTTTATTATCTCCGTCCCTCTACACATGTTAGTACAGTTATGGAGTCTCCCTCTCTTCTTCATGCTCAGTTAGGTCATCCAAGTCTTGCCAAGTTACAGAAACTTGTCCCTGCCTTGTCCAACTTATCTAGTTTGGCGTGTGAGTCATGTCAATTAGGCAAGCATAGTCGTACTTCCTTTCCTCGTAGTTTCACACGTGGTGCTTCGTCCCCTTTTGCCGTGGTTCACTCTAACATTTGGGGACCTAGCCGCGTTAAGTCTACTTTAGGTTTTCAATACTTTGTTACTTTCATTGATGATTATTCCAGATGCACTTGGTTATTTTTGATGAAAAATCGTTCTGAATTATTTCATATCTTTCAAACTTTTTTTAATGAAATTCAAACTCAGTTCGGTGTTTCTATTAGAGTTTTGCGTAGTGATAATGACTGTGAATATCTTTCTCATTCTTTTAAACAATTCATGGCTTCTCACGGTATTTTGCATCAAACTTCTTGTGCTTATACACCTCAACAAAATGGTGTAGCTGAACGTAAAAATAGACATCTTATTGAAACAACTCGCACACTTTTAATTCATGGAGATGTTCCTCAACATTTTTGGGGTGATGCTCTTCTTACTGCATGTTATCTCATTAATCGCATGCCTTCTTCGGTTTTAGATAATAAAATACCTCATTCCATTTTATTCCCTCATGAACCACTTCATCATTTACCTCTAAAAGTTTTCGGGTCTACATGTTTTGTTCATAATTTCAGTTTTGGTCTGGACAAACTTTCTCCTAGATCACATAAATGTGTTTTCTTAGGGTTTACAAGATTACAAAAAGGATACAAATGTTTTTCTCCTTCTCTTAACCGTTATTTTGTGTCAAAAGATGTCACCTTTGATGAGTTGTCTCTTTATTTTAAAAGTCAAACTTCACCTCTGTCTCCATCCAATCTTGTCAACACTCCTAATACATTTAATGTTCCTGTTGTTTGTGACCCTCTAACTGTGTCTTCTTCACCATTAGTTCTCGCTCCGCGATCGGCTTCTTCTCCACCGCCTCTTCGATTTATAGTTCTCGAAACCAATCACAACCACCACCATGTGACTCTACTCAAGTGCCAACTACTCGTCTCCTCCGGATCTGACACATGAGTCTGACCTTCCCATTGCCCTCCGAAAAGGTATTCGTTCTACACGTAATCCCTCTCCCCATTATATTGCTTTGAGTTATCATCGACTGTCATTACCTTTTTATACATGTCTTTCCTCTATTTCTTCTGTGACCATTCCAAAAACTGTCCGTGAAGCTTTAGCCCATCCTGGTTGGCGACAAGCCATGTTAAATGAACTAAGTGCTCTTCATAATAGTGGAACTTGGGAATTGGTCCCGTTACCGTCTGGGAAATCTGTTGTTGGTTGCAGGTGGGTGTTTGCTATCAAAGTTGGAAAATTGAATTATCTTACAGTTACTCGTCCTGACATTTCCTTTGCAGTCAGTGTGGTAAGTCAATTTCTTAATTCACCATGTGAAGATCATTGGAATGCAGTCATTCGTATCTTGAAGTATATTAAAGGATCTCCTGGGAAAGGATTGTTATATGGTTCTAATAACCATACAAGAGTTGTTTGCTACTCAGATGCTGATTGGGCAGGATCTCCTTCGGATAGAAGATCTACATCTGGATATTGTGTCACCATTGGTGGTAACTTGATCTCATGGAAAAGTAAGAAACAAAGTGTTATGGCAAGATCCAGTGCAGAAGCAGAATATAGAGTTATGGCCTCAGCTTCCTGTGAACTTGTTTGGCTCAAGCAATTGCTTAGAGAGTTACAATTTGGAGATGTCACTCAAATGACACTTGTGTGTGACAATCAGGCTGCTCTTCATATTAGTTCTAATCCTGTCTTTCATGAGAGGACCAAACACATTGAGATTGACTGTCAT